CGATTGCGTATATATTACATCGTACAAAATGCCGATAAAATCTCATTTTTGCACGAACAAGCGAACATTGAAATTGGGAAAATAGCCGATTTGTATCAACAAATAAGGGAAATCACAACGGTCACATATTTCTATAGACATGTAATTACTGTTTAAACGTAATAAAAACTCAGAATATCTATGTTTTACCTCTCTCTGGGTCGATCTTTTATCTTATTTGCCAAAAGGTTCTTCTTGGTGCGCCATATTTTATTTTGTTTATAATTGTGAGCGATGTTAATTACATCACGCGATATTTTCTTTCATCTGATTGGTTAGTCCTCGCTTCCGGCAAACCATATTTGGCAAAATATATAAACTATACAAAATACCATATTTTAACAAAGCGCCACTTCAAAGACGAAGATCGCCCTCAAAAAACCTTCATTTTTTCCTTTTCTATCCAAAATTACGCGTGGCAACGGGGCAAACCTTCTTAACAACATCAATCCGAAGCTGCTTGGCTAGGTTGCCTGCTTGTAACAAAAAATGCCATCGACAGTCACTTTTTTTTAGGGTGGCTGGCCGTCTATTTACCTATATGATAAACTGCCAAAAATTATGTTCAATTTTAACCATTTAGAGTTAAGCTTTGAAAAACAGTTTAAAATGTTTGATAAAAAACTCGTTTCTATAACAACTCCAAAGGGAAGGGAAGAAAGAACTTTTTAAGCAGCAGTTTAGTTGTCATATCAACATGTGCTTTAATTCATCTGACTTACTTTTTTTATATGCATTCCAAATTCGAACGGTTGTATCCCAAGACGACGAAATATACTGTATAGTACAAGAAAAATGGACAAAATATTACACATTATTGAAGGATGCGGCACAACAATAATGCATACAGCTAATCCAGAAAAGGTTGTCTTTCAAAAATCTTAAACCAGTCCTTAACATCGAGCGCGCATGGTATGATGGGTAACTTCCTATTTAGAGTCTTAAACTCGGAAAATTTGCTTTGCAACAATTCCAGGGCATAAATAATGAACACTTTCGATGTAGGGCTATTTGGTTCACTAAGCTGATGTCCAATATTAAGCTTCAAATAAGCAATACCCATCATACCTTGCACGCTCAATGTTTAAGATTCTTGAAGGATAACCATTTTTTGTATTGGCTGTACACGAAACAGACATTTTTGAGGTAACATAATATCAACTATCACAAACCTGTCCCCTCTCAGGTACGTGAATTATGCTTCTCACGGAGTCACTGTGACCAACATTCGTTTGAACAAATTTTCGAGTATCTGGATCATAAACCCTATATGGCGAATAAATCATGATGATTTGATGCAGAATGATGCTAATAGCCATTCCAATATGCAATATCCAAATTTATCTTATAGAAAGAAATTTCAAAGTTATGAATCTCACTATAATTATTGAATAAAGATATCCATGCACTGAAGGCTTTTTTATAAAGCATAAAATTTTTCCAGTTCTAACTCCTACGCTTTTGTTTGAATATTGTCAGGATTGTTCAAGTTTTTAACTATTTTATAAAAGTCGTGGATTCACAATCATAAAAAAATAAAACATTGGATACCGTCGTCACTCTGAAATTTCAATAATTTAACAGGTATAAATTAACATTAGAAATGCTAAGGAGGTGTGATCGTTGAAATTTAAAAAACCGTCCGATATTAGTCTAATTCAATCGGTACCATGTATTTTGAATAATTATTACCCATATTCGTATACTTCCATCATCTGACCCAGTTACCCACTTAGATAGGACGCCATTCCATTTAACCTATAAATTCAGAACGAAACGATTCTCAGAAAGTATATAAAAATTTATAAAAATATCTGAAATCGATTTCTGGGTTTTTCGTTGTTTAACATTTGACGCTGATAACAACTAGTAACGTGTCTCATCCTTATACTAATTACAATACTATATAATTATGCCCGCTGCCGATCGGTGGGGATAGATTCGGTTCCAGGTTATGGCGGGACTGGATTATCTTAGCCCCCATGACCAAGCGAGGAATCATGGATACTTCCTCAACCAATGGAACCTCTTCCATCCCCATCGATGACAAGTCAACCTATCTGCACAGGGAAGAAGAGTTCTCTACTTACTAACCAAGTTGCTCCCCAAAGGTCCCCAAACCTGACCTGCACAATTCGCATACACCGAATAACCCCTACCAACCTGGACGCAGTTCCAGAGCACTATAACCAAAGTGGGAAGTGTAGGGGGCACCTGAAAAAGCTCGTGCCGCCAACAGAAACGAGAAGACATTTTTTTGAGGGAAAGGGAGGGTGGGAAAAACGTTGAAAGCAACTGAAAGGCTGGCTTCTAGTTCACTAGCTATTTAATACGCTGGGCTACCGGGGATCTGCCCCAGACAAATCGCCGACACAACAATCGATCAACGGAGCGAATCAGCCCATACTGTTAACTTGCTTTTATGTTATAAAACCCATTTAACATTTGACGCTGATAACAACTAGTAACGTGTCTCATCCTCATACTAATTACAATACTATATAATTATGCCCGCTGCCGATCGGTGGGGATAGATTCGGTTCCAGGTTATGGTGGGACTGGATTATCTTAGCCCCCATAACCAGGCGAGGAATCATGGATACTTCTTCGACCAATGGAACCTCATCCAATTATATTCTCCAACGACGGAAAGGGGTTACCATTAAGGTTACCATTGGTACCTCTTCCAAAATAAAAATCTCCAACCGCTTACAAGTTCAAGGCAAGCGTGAATCCCCCTAAAGAAGTCAGTGAAGTTAGCAACGATCTGGTTTATCGTACTACCCTTAATGACGGTAGTGTTAGTACTAATTCTAGTGCTCCTAATGAAATGTATGCTATACCAGTAAGAATCACCACTCGGAGACGCGGTAAACGTAACCCGCAAAAATTCAGAAGGAGAAATAGTGAGCATTTTTTATGGGACTCGGGGAATCCCAATCGCCCTCCAGAATCAAAGCCAGAATCACAACTCGAAAATCACAACTCCTGGAAGGCTAACCTACAATCGGTCAACCAAACTTTGAACCAACTTGGAACCCTAGTGTAGGTGAAAACCTGCGTACTAACGATGACATATTCACTAATTTATCTTATAATCCACCCCCACGCAATTCGCATAATTTGATAACTATTCATGTTTGTAAATCAGGACCACCAGAGAGTCGCTCTATTCCTACGTGTATTGTAATTAATGCAAGATCCTTAGCTAAACCTGACGCTTGCTCGGCATTGTACTTAGAATTGAATAGTCACAATGTAGATCTGGGTATTGTGACAGAAACTTGGCTAAAATCTACCATTCCCAGTCAAGCTGTATGCCCTGACAGTTTCACCGTGATACGGAAAGACAGACCATATGGTAGGCAGGGTGGTGGTGTAGCAGTCTTTTGTAGGCACGATTGGAAACTCGAAATTTTGGAAGAATTTTCGAATCCTTATGAATGTCTATGGACTAAAATAACAACCAATAACTTGATATTTTACTTATCAGCAATATATCATCCTCCGTCTCCCGAATACCATCCTGATGACCTCCTTGATTTCCTAATGGACTCATGTGAGAGATTATTATCATTAGCGCCCAACGCGAAACTAATCATAGCTGG